TGCCACCTTCTAGTCTGCTTTTTCATCACTGTTTCCTACCTGTTCTGTTGCTGGTCATTTCTTAGTTCCTACACATTTTTAATTTACCAAAGCCAACTCTATTCTGCTCCAATATTATTTGGAATGCACAATATGCATTCATATCATCATCCCTTGCTTACATTAAAAAAGAGAGAAATTGTTCTGCCCTTAACAACAGCCTCTGACAGAAACCTAATCTACGGAAAACGATCTTTGCACTATTTTTTTGGACTAAACTACTACATAGAATCATACAAGTGTGTAGAGCCAAAGGGCATACAGTTCAGAGGCACATTAAGACAAGAAACTTAATGCCTCGTTGGCATCATGGAAATATCTGTCTAGGAAATTCAGAAATCTGTGTTAAAATGCCATTATTTTTCTAATCCACAGCTGTTAATAATATTCAGAAAATAGCCTTATGTCCTCTCTAAAAGAAAGCAATATATTACAGCGCAGATAATTCAGGTAAGTACAAGCACTTTGCGTAAATAAGACGTTGTAAATCAGACACTTTCTTTATAAGCCACATGGCTTCTCTTTTAAAAAAGATGTCGCTTTTCATACAGATAAGTTGATTTAAGTACTTCACAGCAACTGATGACTAATGAATCAAAACTTATTAAGGGAAATCAAATTGGTTTATTATTCACAACAAATTAATAGCTTTTTTGAAATATCATTTGATTAAACAGTATATTAGCCTTGACTAAATGGTTAGCATCAACTCCCTCCAACCACAGCCAACCAAAAAAGATGTTGACCAAGGTTGTCAGCTTGCTGAGATGTGTACATAACAATAATATATTTGCTTTGAAGTTACATTTTATCTCACCCATAAATGCTTTTTTTAAACATAAAAATGTATTTTAGATAACTCAGTGATAAGAGACAGCTAGTTTCCAAAAGGAACGTAGATAGGCAGGGATGTTTGTGTGCAAATGAAAAGCAACAAAAAGTGAGAAATTAATTTTAAAAAAAACAGTACCACAAATTGATGAGGCAACCGTTTGCCCTTGACGTATTGAAAATTACTGCTTCATTTGTACATGTTTACTGAAGGGTTTTTCAATAAACTTATTTGCTTAGCTTACAGAAACGACAGTTTATCAGCTTCACTCTTATTGAAATTAATCCTTCGCCATGCTGACTTACAATAAAACAAGCACTCAAAATCACAGAAAGAGGCAGTAAGCCACCTCCTTTTTGGCTGCAATCCTCAGAACACCTCACTGGAACTTTGAGAAAACGTACATAGGATTGTGCTGCTTGTTCCAAAATCATGTTGCAGGTATGTGGAAGTCCAGGGACTTGACCCACAAACATATATAGACTCACAAGCAATGTTGCTTACACCTGTTAGGCTACAATCCTATGCACACTTTTCTGGAAGTCTTGGAACCCAATGGAGATTACTTCTGAGGAGACATGCCCAGGATTGCACTGCTAATGTTGTGCTGATGTTTCGCTTATGTCTAGGATATTTGATTTAACCAGCTGAGCATTCTAACCTCTCAATTTTTAGTGTAAAAATGGGGGGGGGGGTCCCCCTACCGTGCTCTTTGCTTCTCCCTTTAAAAAGTGTCTCTACTATTCTAACTTAATTCAGTGAGGAAGAAAGCACAGCCATAACGAAGCGCAGTAAAACAACAAGATGAGAAGTCAGAGGAGTTAACTCTAAACGTACTGCTGTATCGTAATAACCCCCAATATAAGAAGAAAATATTAAAGTGTAGAGATTCTACATCTTCAAAGAGGGGAAAGCGTTAACTGGAAACGATTTAGAAAACCTGATCTAAAGTTTCACACGCAGCTGTCTGAAAAAGTCTCAGGATTCTCAGCTGAGAAATCAAGTCTCCCAACCACACTGCTACTCACACACAACTGTTTCCATATTGTTATTTTTTTTGTTTTGTTTTGAACCGGATCAGGAGCCTCCGCCCCAGTTCCAACCCCTGAATCCTAAAACTAACCGAATCAGTGCTAATGCCCTCAGACTTGAACTTTCTGTTCTAAAGGGGTTTGTTATTTTCAACAATAGGAATGTCCTCTTTTGACAGATTTCATCCCCCTTCCTTTGCTCCCCCAGCCCCACCCACTCCTCTCTTGTGCCAAGCAAATCCTCTCCTCTCTTCTTTTCTCAGTAGAATAATCTCCTGTGGAGGAGAGGGGTATCTTCTTCACTACCTAATTCCTAAACTCTGAGAGGTTGGGTTCTGGGCTATCTGCAGATGTCTAAAGTCAACTGTGGCATGAAAAGTCTGTTGGCGCGAGAAGAGGTGGTTTACATAAATGTACACCTCTTGACAAAATTTTTGTAATTACTTCGCACTTGGAAAACTTTTTCTGGTTTAACAGCACTGGCTCTACACAATCACTCACACACACACACACACACACACACACACAGGTTCCATAGGAAAAGCTTTTTTAAAAAACTAGTAGGTTCATGTTGGGCAAACTTCTGCTCATTTGACTTTTGAGTCATACAAAGTTTTAACCAGCAAAATAATGAGGAAATAGAACTGTCTCGTTTACTTGCAATTCAAATAATTAGACCAAAAAAGTGCACCATCTTAGAAATGGGTATCTCCCAATTGTTTTCTTCCACAAGTTAACTAAAGACTACAGGGGTATATTAAACAAAACAAATCTGATAAGCAGAACTAAAAAGACAAGGCCCATTTTACAATCTACCATCCCAAGCATCTTTCTTTTAAGAGAACCTTTAAATTTCCTTTTTATTCAGAAGAGCTAAAGATGTATCAGGACAAAATGTTCCTGCTTTTTACTACATAATTTCAGCATGTTTTAGAGATGTTAAACTTGGAAAGAAGGTTTTGTTGTGTGTGCATACATGTGACCATTTAATTGTAGAAGGATAACTCATCTGATCACCAACTCAAGAAACCCACAACTGACTCTTTTCATTTGATTCAGTTATACTGAAACTAGTTTAAAATTAAATCTGAATTTAATACCAGTATGCACATTCCAAGTGCACATTCATTATCTTAAAATTGAATCGGGGCAAAAATATTTGCCACTTTTTATATGGAAGAAACTCTGTGTTTATACTTACTAATATGAAAATTAGGAATATTTAGACTGTGAACTGAACAACGTTTTATTTCTATTTCATGGAGAAACCTTTCTGCCCAATGACTACCTGGCTTGTGGAAAGTAGTTGGCACTTAAGTCTCCAAGTAAGTGGTTTTGCTTAGCATCCTTACATATGTAAAGAGAGAACCCATTATCAATTATAAATAGCATGCTTGCTCCCCATCTATAAATAGAGACATATTATGAGAAAGGCATATGAGCTGTATGATCACAGATTGTGTATCATGCTCCCAGGTACTATGCATGCTTTGTGAGGAAATGTGTAAATTAGAAAAATATAGACTTGATTTATATCACACTTTTTCTTGCTGATTTTTTTCAAATCATGGTGTCTCTATGAGCATTCTTTTGCCCTCATGTTTTAAATTCAGTTCTTCCACTACAGCTCCCTCTTCAGTCAAATCCACTTTGCTACTACAAAGGTCCTTTCTCTATTTCCAACTGCCCAGGGTGTCGTGTCATCAGCTATGTTTGCACAAGCAAAGCAACCTGAAAAAAGTATAGGATGGCAATTGTCTGCAGAAAAAATGGTATTCGCTCAGAGCTTCCCATAAACCTATGCCTATCTGGTGGGTCTTATTCTGAATAAATAAATCACACATCCTAATAATGATGGTTTGTCCAGCGTCACTCAAAATTAAGTCTTCACTCTGCATAAGCATGCATCAAAGCAGTACACAAAGTCCTACTTTTTAAAACCTGACTAGAGAGGGTTATTTATTATGTCTAAGTTACTACTTAACTCCTATCAGTCCTTAACTCAAATCAACACCACAGTTAAATGGTTCTCTGTTGTGAAACACTGACATCAGGTAAGGCCTGCTTACGCTGCCTGGCAGCAGTGCTACTGGTGCTTTTCAAAAGATACATATATTTCTAGGTGCATAGGATGGGAAAGTGCATATGGGTGCCCTGAAATAAACAAACCCCCCACCCACCCACTCCTCGCTCCCTTCTCCTTGCTCTCTAGGCTAATCTACTTCTTTACTATAAAAATGGGCAAAGATCAGGTTGCAAAAATTGAAGAAGATTTGAGGCTTTTAATAAAAGCCTTTACAGTCAGAAGATTAGTAATGTCTTACTGATAAGGATGGGATGAAGTGTTGTCACAGCTTAAAGGACTCGATTCTGAAACTTTTTGTCAGTGTGTGAAGATTCCCAAGTCCTATTGTGTGCCTTATTTGGAGCGTGCCTTCCTCAACAGCTGCAAACTGGATTGAAAAGGTGCCCTTGTTCAGGTGTCTTGCTTCCCCCACCCAGTGACAACACTTGTGCAATATCTGGGGGCAAGGAACTTGGACTTCCATGTATCTGTTGGAACCCTGGGCATCTGCCAACTAAACACTGGGCCTGTGTGCTCACCTCTGTATTAAAAGTGTGTCATCCTTCCTTTTCCCCTTCCAAAGGAGATTGACAGAGGGGGGCGGGAGACTTCAAAGTGGCAACAGAAAAGGGTCAGGTTTCCATTTCATTTTAGTAAGGCTCCAATGCTGAGCTTGCTTCCAAGGGAGCAGAATTGCACTTCTGCACCCACTTACCTGGGAGCAAGCCCAAGCGAACTAAAGTGGAGGGTCACTTCCACATAAACCGGTCTGTAAGTCCCGCTGAACTTTTGAGCCAAACATGTTCTGGGCTGAGCTGCACGTGCTTACATGCAGCAGCAGCAGAAGAGGCAGAGATCGCCCTAGAGGCGCTCTGAGCAAGAGTGTGTGTGTATATTTACTAGAGAGAGGAGCTCGGCGGGGTGTTTTTAGAAGCTGCGCAAAGCGCACCAGAGGGGCGCACGCTATTTCCCACCCCCCTCTCCTTTCTCTTCGCCGCCTTTTTCGCTTTTATTCCGCCTTTTCTGCACGCGCTTACCTTGCGTTGGTGCAGTCGTTGTAGAGGGTCTCGAAATCCTTCCTGGAGATGAGCTTGCAGCGGTTGACGCCGGGCTGGATGGCGCCCAGGCCCCTGAGGATCCGGACCTGCTCCACGTTGCAGACGACGGGCGTGATCTCCAGGCGCTTGAGCTTGGTGTAGACGGTGTGCAAGCCGCCCACCAGGTGCTTGAGGAAGAGGTCGAACGCCTGAGGCAGGCAGATCAGCTCGCAGCCCTCCACCGTGAACGAGGCCACCTTGGCGCCCCGGAGGTCCACCATCTTGCACTCGTTGTTCTGAGGCGTGTTCTCCACCGGGGAAGGGGTCGAGTACACCGGCTTGCCCGGCACGCCGACGCCGGCAGAGGGGGCCGCGCTGGGCGCAGGCGGGGGGCCGCCGCCTCCGCCTGCGCTGGAGGCTCCTCCGCTGGAAGCGCTGCCGGTGCCCAAGCTGGCGCTGCCATTGCTCTCCCCGCCTCCGTTGCTGGAGGCGGCTGTGGCGGACGCCGCTGCTGCCGCCGCCGCGACGGGCTCCGTCCGGAACAGGCTGGCCGCCCCCGACGAGGCCGCCGCCGCCGCCGCTGCTACCGCCGAGGCCGCTGCGGCCGGCGGGGATGCGGCCGACGAGGTGCTGGTGCTGGTGGTGGCGGTGCAGGCGGCCGAGGTGGAGATGGGCGGCTGAGGGGGCACCAGCTGCGCCGGCGGGATCAGGGGAGCCGGGGCGGCCATGGCCGCATGAGGCGGCGCGGCGGGAGCAGCAGAAGCCTCAGCCCGACCCCCACCCCACCCCCTTCACGGAAAAGTGGGCAGGGGGGGCGCAAAATAAACGGAGAGGCGGGAGGCGGCAGTTGTGTTGGTTTATGCGGGGAGGGGGGAAAGGGAGGAAAGTTGGCTCCCTCGCGCGCACCGTGGAGAGGGTTTAAAAAGCCATGTTGGGGGGCGGGGGGAGCGGGAAAAGTGCGCGTGGGGGGCGCGGAAAGAGAGAGAGGAAAGAGGCGGCGGGGGGGGGGGAGCGTCCCGGCAGCAACTGTGAGGAGAAGGAAGGAGAAGTCCGCTTTGGAAAGTGGTGGCGCAGGAGGAGGAGGAGGAGGCGCGCCAGGGGAGACGAAGGCGCAGGAGAGGGGCGAGCTCGGTTTGTGGTGCGTCTCTTCTCTCGCTGCTGCTGCTGCTTCTGCTGCTGGTTCTTCTTCTCCTTCTCCGCCCCCCCCTCCCCTCTTCCTCACTAGCACCTAGTTAAAAAGAGGAAGGAGGCGGGCTGCCGGTGCGGGGCTTGAGCTGTGAGCTCGCTCTCGCCGGGACGCGGAGCAAAAGGAGGAGGAACGTGGAGGTGCGCGCGGGAGGCTGGAGCGAAGCGCCGGCTGCTGCTGCTGCTGCTGCTCCCGCGGCTGCCAGCCTCTTCTCCTCGCTTCTCTGGACGTGGACGAGTTGTTGTTGTCACACGGTACAGGGAAAGGGGCGGAGCTCCGGCAACTTGAAATGCCCCTTTGAAGCGCGCCCCAGCCTCTCCCGCACCCGCGCGGCGGCGGGCATTAACCTAAATTATCCAACCAGGAAGCCAAGAGCCAAGGGGAGATGCACGGGGAGATCTCTCCTCCTCCTCCTCTCCAGAAACCGTTAGATTGCATGTTTCACGTTTCATCCCATCAGAGGTGAGCTCTGTAATTTTCCAATTCCCACTCCCCCCCACTTTCTCCCGCCCCTCCCCAACGGGAGGTGGGGGGTGGGAGAAAGAGAAGCAACACGCTTGTCAACACGAGTTTGATGGAAAACACGCTCTAAAATTGACCCAGGGACAAGCGGTTGGTGCAAGACACGAAGGGCCCAAAAATTTTTAATTTTCTTTAAGTAAGGAAAAAGTAGCGCGCGAAGCAACAGCGCTCCTGTTTTCCTAAGTGTCACTTATGACTTACTTGCAAAATCAAAACCCCGTTTCAAAAGCGAGGTGGAAGGATCGGAGGGGCGGGGATAACATGCTTTCATTTGTACACTCCAGTCCTTTGAAGATAGTAAACAATTGCAGAGAGCGAGTTGGGGGGGGGAGAGGCTGGAAGTTGCATATTTGTTTATTAACGCTGCTCGGAGTGGGAAGGGAAGCGTCATAATTACCGCTCCTTAGAGCGCTTTGTTGTGCGAAGGGCTGGGATGAAACGCGAAGCGCACGGAGAAGAAAGAAGGGGATAGAACTACAGATATATATATAGCATTTCCGGGAAATAATAGGCATTTATGGATCAAAGAGCCCAAGGTACTTACATTTAATGCAGTTGAGAAATAACATATGTTGTGGGAAGGGATTCTCAAAGCAAGAAAGCTGGCGGGGTAGACATATAGAAGGGGGCAGATGTTCGCCAATAAACTGCTGCAGCGAGTGTCTCTCCCCCACCCTCCCGATATTCCACCCTTCCTTTACACCGAGGCGTTTTCAGAAGTACAGAACCTCCGATTTTAATGTGTGCCTGTCTCTGTCTTGGGGCTTTCGCCTGTATTTTGACGGCTCCTCTGTTTGTCTCGTGTCCCTATTATTATTATTGCCGCTGGGGGGGGCGGCGGGGGGAAAGGAATTACCGAGCGCTGCTTTGAACTAGAGGTGAAGTAACTTTGCAAACGTTTCCTAAGCGGAGCGAAGTCTACACAGACGGCGCTGTGCCATCAACAGGTGGCACCGCCGCCTGATCCGGGCTGAGATCTCTTTGGAAGGAGCGGCGCCGTGTTTACTTGGGAGTCAACCTGCGCAGAATCGGACTAGAAGGAAGCCTGCGTGTTCTATGTTACTCTGGCCCTTGCGCTGCCAGGCTCAAACGGGGGTGAAGGATCTGGCGTACGATGCGCTCAAAACTAAGGGTCTGGCGGGTGAGCCCTTGCTGGTGCTCAGCGGAAGGCTGCGCACGTGCTTACATCTCGCTCGCCCCATTGATGCGACGGGGATGGCAAGGGGCCTTGCGCTTCGCTTGGAGTGGGGGTGAAACCGCTCGGAGCAGTGCCAACCAAGCCCAAAGCCTTCTCTTTCACAAGTCTGAAAGGAGAATCAATACTTCCCTTAGGGCCCAATTGTTTATGGCTATTAAAAGCGCCACAAGCAGGCTGCGTAGTAAAGAGCTTGCTCTCTGCTAAACAATTTTGGGACCTACTGAGAGGGAGACTCCGCTGGAAAAAAAAAGCATTTTCCTGAAGCTGGATGACACACATTTTAAAAAGCAAAATGTGTGGCTGAAGATGAATTTGTAAAGTTTTGTTTTTTAAAAACTTCCATCTCTAGGAAACATTAGGAAAATAAAGCCAGGAGCCACCCCCCAGGCTTCCCATTTTCAGCTAAGGTTGAAATCATTGAGAGATGCTTGAAAGGTTGTTTTTCCTTATTGGCATAATACTGTACTACTGTTCAAGCAGTGGTTGCAATGTCTTGGCTGGAGGCTGGTTCACTTCACCTGAAAGCATCTAGATTGCATGCTTTCTCATATTGAGAACTCAGACTCATACCAGCATTTAACATCCTTTTCCTGGTGGGGAGTATGTCCAATACCACATAATGTCACCATGGGTGATTTCAGACTCATGTATAAATTTCATGTATGTATACTTTCCCAATTTTTGAAATCCCCCCCCCTTGGGGAGCAGAACATATATAAAGTATTGGGTTGTACCATGTGCCATTTGAAAATGCACTGATTCCAACTTATTCCTAAAGTTTGGGCCTACTTCCCATCATTCAAAATATGGTACAACAGGGCTGGCTGAATAACTATGGTGACCCATATGCATTTATTCAGAAGTAAAATCTATTGTTTTGAGTGGGACTTACTCCCAGGTAAGTGAGTTTAGGATCTCAGCCTAAACCACCCCTATGTGACTCCTGGCTGAATATATTGTGAACTGATGCCATTGAAAAGCACTGCATTTGAGATGATATGAAAGATCTGCCTGTGTTGCTTGATATGTATGTGAAGACTCATTCACACATGCAAAGCACCACTTGAGGCTGCATGCAGTTATTTTGTGAGGAATATGCAAATATGAACCAGGCCTGTGTGCCTGGTTCATACCTGCATGTTCCTCAGTCTGCCTGTGTCTGCTTTGCTGCATGGGTTGTGCGCACATTTGAGATTCTGTGGCTAACTACAGCTTCCCCGGATAACAAATTTCTGTTAGCACAAATGAAAAGTGCACATACGTACATTTGCATATGGCTTTTCCTACATGGAAGTCATACTTGTATAGGAAATAGACATGTGTTCTTTATACTAAGTTGTATTGAAATCAATGTGTCATGCTGATAAATTGGCTTAGGAGTACAAAAGATCTTAAGCAGCAACTGCAGTCTGATTACGGACCCATTTTCTATGTGTATTATTTTATATGTATGTTCCATAATCTTCACTTAAGGACAAATAATTGATTAAAATATCTTGGAGAGGAGAAGAGTGGTCCTTTTAAAGTACGTGAGTACCAATAGCAATAAAGTATTTAAATCCATGGGTGTTTTGTAGACGTTAAATTATTTTGGCTGCTTTCTTTACACCTTTGCATGACAGCAAGTCCAGTGGAATTGAGAACCTGCAATCAGTTTGTATAAGCCTCACCGATTTCACTATGGGAGGTCTACAGTGTTGAGACAATCATTCTGACCTACCTTACAGGGTTACTGTAAAAGTTAATGGCGTACAGCTCAGTCATATATATGTTTACTCTAAGCCCTCCTGTGTTCAGGGGGACTTACTTCTGAGTCACAGCCACAGATTGCAGCCACAGGATTTGAAATGTTGTGAAGGCTGTCCAAGTTCTACACAAGTACAAGGTATTAACTTGTCCTACACAATACTGAAAATCAGTGGCAGTTAAAATTTACATCCTGGTCTGTTCAATGAATGGAAACACCAGTGTTTGTAACAAGCTTTAGAAAGGAATATTAAATAACAAATATTTAAACATGTGACAGGTGTCTCAAGACAGACACGTGGTGTGAAGTGGGCACCTTCGCTTTTCAGGTTAATTAATAAAAGGTGTGTTCTTAAAACATGGCCTGCTGTTTCTAAGACACCTCTTTTAAAACTTTTTTTAAACTGAAGAAATGGGTCATAATTTCAAGGCTGGAATCTTGGGTATCAAAAGCACAAGGAAAAGCCGAACAAGCTTGCTTTTGCAATGACAAGACTGTTAACTATAATAGCCGAGCCTGCCTTCATAAAATTAAGACTCTGTATTTGCCTCTTTCTGATTCCAGTGCAACCATTGGAAAGAAAAGATGTATTTGCCTCAAGGAGTCTACCTGAACAAATAAATAAATAAATAAATGCTAAAGTATGACTAAAGGCGTGAATTTTTGTTGATTGTGGTTGCACATATGTTGTTGAACACCTATGAGGAAGCAAGGACACTTTAACACAACTCATTCCGAAATATGCATATAAATAGGATTGCCGGGTACAATCCTGAGCATCGTTCCTTGCAAATAAGTGCCGCAGAAATAAATGGTTCTTACACAGGTTCGGGCACATCAGAGTATCCTGCAGTTGGTGTGAAAGGCTTCTCTCGCGCGTAACCACTGGTGCTTTTTTAATCTGCGCAAAGTGGACACACATGAATTGCGAGTCCCGAGCCCAGTAACTCTTTCCCTTCCAGGGGCGACTTCTCTTCTCGCTTCACCTTCCTGTTCTCGGAGTGAGTCGAGTAACTTTGGTCTCCAGAGTCCTGAAGCTGCCAAGGGAATATTAAACACAACCAAGAAATGGAGGAAGAGCCCCAACAAAGCTCTCTTGAAGTTTCATGCGTGGAGTCTTTACTCCTCAGCAAACTACTGGATCGGGTGTGGGAGGGTCGGCCTTGGACACACGGGACCTAAACGCCATTCCCACGACCTTTTGTCCACGGACTTCCAAAACTGGTCCAGTCTCGACGCAACTGTGCGCGTTTAGGACTAAGAGGCTAACGCAGCGCAAAACCCACCAATGACATTGCGTGGCTATGCGGCGCCCCTTAAAACATGGCGAGGCTCATTTATTATTATCATTATAATTATTGTTACCCACCGGCCCCTTCAAAATAGGGTTCCCCTTCCCTGCTCTCTCCCTCCTCAGCAGGCGCATCCCTCGCGCGTCCGCCTTACTCCCAAGTAGCCCAAGTGAGAAGGGAACTTTCTCCGTGTGTGTCAAGTAGGAGACTTATGGTGTTGAAATCAATAAGACTGTTTAAAATTCAAAGACCTGCAAATCGTTCTGTTTGTCCTTTGATAGGGCCTCTGCTGATTAAAATGCGACCAAGAAAGCTTAATTGCTGCACTAATTAAGAAGTCTTTAATTTCTTTCCTGGAATATTGTTTGAAGCAGGGTTTCTCTTCTATTCCTCGCAGCTTGTTCAGGGCAAAGTCTCTCCCCCCTCCCTCTCTCTCTCCCCACCCTCCATCACTCCCTCTGACCCTTTCGATGAATAAACAATGCGCACTGGAAACAGTCAGATGAATAGATAGTGATCCTAATTTATTACTTTCCAAAACACCTGCTCCAGAGTGCGCTGCTTTACGAAGCCCGGGGCCGCGGAGCGACGCGTAAGATGCGCATTAGACGACGCGCGTTAAGTGCTCTAACCGCACCTGAGTGACAGCAGATAAACGGGGGCGCAATTTCCTCCTGTCTCTCTCTTCTCCACCCCCAGCCCTCCTCACGCCTCTCCAACTTCTTCCTTTCTTTCCTCCTCTGTCGTTAGCGGGAAAGAAATATTTTAGCTCATCAGACGGACGAAAAAATCCTTAGCTTTAGGAAAGGAAAGGAGGAAGACCCAAGCAAGTGTTGGGGGAGATGGGTCCCCATCTTAAATTCATTACCATATACTTTCTTCTGTTTATTTCGACTCCCCTCCCCACCGCTGCTTTCCTGAGAAATACAATGACCCCATTATGCTTCGCCCCCTTCCTCCTGCCTATTGACCGATCTTTACCCAGCCATTTCTCAAAACTGAGGGGACGGACTCATGAATCTTGCCCTGTGATCAATAGCCCTTAAAAAGAGAGCGGATGTATTTATTCTGCGTTCCCAGCGTGCGCCTGCGTGAGTCAGAGAGTGCGAGGTTAGGAAGGAAAGAGGCGATGCAACGCGAACCACCGTTTACTCCAGAGTAGCCTCAGTGAGGTAGACCCCCTGCACCGGGCAAAGTGCAGGACAAAGTTGGCATGCAAGTTTCCGGGTTGTCCCACAAGTGGGCACGATCCAGCCAAAGCAACTTGCCTTTCCCAAATGCTGCTTCTCTGTATTATCAGGGATTCTGCGGGAGGGGCTGGATCGTGTCCCATCTTGAGAAATGGGAGTGTCTGAGCGGGCGGTTTAAACGACTTAACGAGATACCCTGTGGATTGTGAATTAATTGTAGTACTTTTATTTTTTAAATTGTAATTTAAAAAGATAGGCGCATGTTATTGTTTTTTTATTTTCTTTGCTTCTAATATGTTGAATTCCTGCCTTGCAGGGGGTTGGACTAGATGACCACGGGAGCCCCCTCCAACTGCACAATTCTGTGATCCTGTGCGCTGCCTTTGGAGACCCTGACTCTGCGGAGGCGGCAGCCGCTGGGCTTCGAACTTCTAACACGGCGGTGGTGAACCAAGCCCCGCCTTCCCCTTCTATAAATACACCGAGGCTTCTCGTCGCTGACAGGACGACTAGATAACACGCTTAATACAAATACAAAAGGGCTGGTTGCCATTCAAGGCACGGCGGCTCTCTAATTATGTTTATTCTAATTGAAAGCAAAAAGGTTTGATTTTGCAGGGCGGGGGGTGGGGGCTGGCGGAGGAGAGATGCCAGGGGAAGAATCTGAAACGACTTTTAGGCTGCTTTGGATTTATTTTTAGTAAGGGCAGCGGGCCCAGTGTGCTTCGCAAGCGTCTCCATCAATCTCCTGCTGAAGGAGTAAATAAATAAATAAATATATATATATGTATGTATATTATTTAAAAAGGGAGAGAGCTGTTGGGGAGGAAAACTCACATCTCCAACGGAGACCGTATATAATGCCCCCAGGGGTAAAGGAGAGAGAGAGAGACCCCAGTAACAGTGGAGTTTCCAGACTTCACGCAAATCAATTGAAGCCCACTCCTTATGGCCAGACTGCCAGATTGTTATGACTGCGAATTCAGTCGATCAAACAGTGCATTAGCACCCTCGCCACAAACAGGCTGGACACAAACAGCATCCGCTTTGGAACAATCGGCGTTATAGATCATTTGAAGCAAACACAAACACACATACATAAGCAAGCCCGGAGGCCCCAGTGCAAATGCGGATCCTTGGCTCAAACGAAAAGTGGTGCCAAATAAATGCGCAGCGCAATCCTAAACACCATGTTTAATCTGAAGGGGGTCTCGGTGGGTTTCAATGTCTGTTTAGGATTGCAGCCTTAGACATGGTTTGCAGGGCGGAAAAGCCTCCAGGAGCTGGAGCAGACACGTCGTATTAAAGTTCCGGCAGGCCGGAAGCTCCTTGAAGGGGATGTAAACTGCGAATTGGACGTGGCCGAGGGGAGTTCAGTCTTTTCAGCGCCTTTGGTAGCCGGAAGCTTAGAGCCCCGGCCCTTTGAAAGCTCGCAGCTCTTGCCGAGGAGCAAGTTCCTTTGAACTCGGTTGGGTTTCCTCGCGAGTAAGCTTTCCTTAGGCACGAAGCGGGTTGCTGCGTGGTCGAATCTGGGGAAGCCCAATTCAGAAACGACCCTTCCTCACGTCGAGGCCGTGGTTCCGAGCTCATACAGATAAGCAAACGATTCTGCAGGGTTTATCCTCGCCCGGGTCATTTGTGTTAACTTACATAGCCGTCAGAAGTCTTTCAGCCACGCATCAATGGCCAGCGCGTGTTGGAAGTTGTCGTCTGAATGAGCTCTCCTTTGGCTCTGCTCCTTGAAACTTTTTGCGCGTCGTGTTTAGGAAATATCCATGCTGCAAGTGATTTGCCCTAAGCTTCCGGCTATTCACCCAGCCTCCCCCCAGCAATCCGCTTCTCTTTGCGGGATTCTGCGGTCCACCCCCCCCAACTTCTTTCGCCAGCGAACCTTAGACGCTGCGCTTTATGTCAGGGAACTTTATTTTACGCGCGGGAAGTAGCCCGGAGATATTGATCTCCAAGAAAACCTACTCGGTGCGCACTACGCAGCTGCTTCTTGCAGCGTCTGCACCCTTCCTGCGGTGCAGGACATGCCCGGGACCATCTCTATATGCGACCATCCACGCAGGGAAGCGGTGGGGCTGGGCGACGGAGGCGCCGAGCGAGCTTTCCCTCTCCGGGGCGCGCAAGGGCGCGCGGGTGGAGCCGCTGGCTGCAGCTCGCCGCTGACCAGAGCGGTGCCTTAAGGCGCTCCCTGACGCCGCTCCTTTACAGCCGAGAGGGGATTTTTAAACATGCCTCTTTAACGGGGAAAGTAAAAGGGACATCCCTCGACTCCACAGCGCACACGTTCGGCAGATGGCACCAGTTCAGGCTGAGCGGAGAGGGCAGAGATGCGAGGCTTGCATCGCTCTGCGTTTCTTCCGCGATGGCCACGGACTCAAGGATGCCAAACAGGGATGCCACGAGGGGCAGGCGGTCTCCGGCTCCCCCGAGGACAGGAGATGGAGCAGGAAAGATTGCACCGGGGAGCGCGCAAGGGCGGCGTTTCTGGCTCCCTCCCTGCGCTTCGCTCGGCGCGCCAGGGCTGAGAAGTTTGCCGCGGCTCCAGGGCGAGGAAATCCGGACTGGTCCGCGGTTTCTTTCGCCACAGGGGCGGCGCACCCTTGGCCCCGACGCGCCCGCTTCTAATCCACTTATCTTACTAGTTAATGCCCGACAACCGGATCACACCTCGTTCGGAACGAGGGTCACTTGAAGTCCGTCGGATTTGTGCCCAGTTGCGTTTCAATTTGGGAAGGAACTCGCCTATCCTTACCCATGGGAATCTTTCAAACGCAAAGCTTTTCCTCAATTTTTTTGCCCCCGTCCCCTTATAAAGGATGTCTCGTTTGCCCCTAGTGCAGCGCCAGATTCTTGAGCCGGGCACATGCACACCGCCGCCTTCTTTTTAAATCCGGAGTAACTCCCAGAGTAAAGCGTGTGATTGTAAAGAGTGGAAGCGAGTAATCGCGCCACACAAAAGACCCCTGGGAGAAATCCTCATTTTCGTGCACATGGGACAGATCTAGAACGTGTGGTTTGGAGTAACTAATTCATGTTTATTGATCTTAGTAAGATTTAGCTCTTGCGAAGCACCCTAATACGTTTGAAACTAAAAGGTGGGAAGTTAGGATAAGGAATAGTTTTTTTGGGGGGGTGTTAAAGTTAGGGCTCCTTTGCGTTCCGACGGCGCGCAGGTGCATTTGCGCAAGTTCAGTTCCATTTGCTTTCCAAGAAAGTGTATTTAGGATCGCAGTCCAGGCCTCTCTTTCTCCTCTCCTGCCTCTTTTGTTTTCCTCCTTCCTTGTCTGACGACGAGGATCACCCTCTCCCCTCCCCCTTGAATGAACCTCAAAGTCTTTTTTAGGAAACAAAACCCCCACCGCTTTGCAGATCAATCAACTTCCACGGCTCGCCCCCTCCCCCCCCGCTCCCCAAATGACGCAACAGTTTGCGGTGTCTTAATCTGCGGGAAGCAACGTGCTATGGAACTCCAGAGGTAAAGCAGATTTCTGCCGGGGAAGAATGGCTGACAGTCAAACGACTGAACTGCTCCGAAGCTAATTGTTTCCCTTCTCAAAACGCGCACTGGGGAGGCTTTTCACCAGGGCTTGCAAAACGCCGCTGCTGCCACATGACAAACGGGAGGAGGGTGGCTTTCAGCTGATGCCCAACATTAACTCAACGTTTTATTTAATAAAACAGTGCTTCTCCTCGCCGCCACTTCTTCTCCTGCTCCCCACACCCCCTTTTAAAACCTCGTTGGAGAAGTTTCAGACCTGGATAGAGATTTATATTATGAGAGACTTATATAAACCCTTTGCAAAAAACAAAAAAAAAAAAGCAAAGCAAAGCGTGGCGGGGGGGGGTGATGAGAGGTATTGTAATGGAAGTGCTGACACCATCTTAACCATAGCGTTGTAAACGGCTATGCTATAATATCCATTAAGCAGAAAGAAAAATAAGATGGTTGATCAATAATTTATACCCAGAGTACCAACTGCAGACATAATAACTGTAATGTTTGCAAAGCAATCTCTCGCTCTCCAGGCTTTAACAGTAAACTCAAACTAGCCACGCTGTTAATTTCCAATCTCCCCCCCCTCCTTTCCCAGCTCCTCTTTTTTTCCAGACGAGAATACAAACAAATTACTTAAAAATTCTATTTTGCTCCTCATTTAGCATGCCTCACATGGGATCCGGGAGCAGGAATTTAATTATGATGTAACTCGGAGTGATTGCAGGGTGAGGCAGAGCTGGGAAGAGGTGGCAGAGCAAGCTAAGGAACTAGGTTGGTGATGATGGGCACGTTTCTAGTTTTTAAAAAAGGAGTTTTTAACAACCACGGCCGGGGGAACCAATGCTCTCCCCGCTCCTGCAACACCCCACCCGGCGAGGGAGAATCAAATGATGTAAAACCTGCCGGGCTTTGGGTCATCTCGATTCTTTGCAGTTATTCACACATGAAAATGGAGTGACACAGCTCAACTTCAAAGCAAGTCCCTGCGCTGGGCTGTGTTTTTCTTTTTTTAAAGAGCCACTGTGGAAACACAATACCCCATGGGACGATAAGAATCAGTTTCACAAAACAATACCCCTTGCAGTTGAAAGAGAGAGAGAGAAGGGGGAGGGGGAGCTTGGAAAAGCAAGCCCTTTTGATGCTAAGTGGGGGTGGGTGGCGATCTCCCAGCACCCACGCAGAGACGCGATCCTAAGCACGCTTCCTCGCAAGGAAGTCCGGTGGAGTCCAAAGGACACCACGTAGTGTGTTCAGTATTGTACCCTTGTGGTCTGAGCCGCAACCCAAGGAACACTTACAAGGGAGCGAGTCCCATTGAGGTCAGTGTGGTTACTTCCCAGAATATGAGTGTGACATGTTCAGCTCTACGTTGTTTCTTGTCATTTGCAGAGAAGCTTAACCAGCCATTTCCACTCAGTTATAATGGTGCACCCAAGGCAAAGGTGTTTGCTTTGAGCAAGCTCTGTTGAAATCACCCAAACTCATGCACTTACGAAGAGCCAGATCTCAAAACACGGGGAATTCTCTTTTACACACAAGAAATTTTCATAGGCTTAATCTGATACGTGGAATTGGCCTGTTGTTGGCTGAATATCCATTTCATGGGTAAATTTCATGTGTATTCCTCCCCAAGCACACATGCCGGTCATACTTGAAAATAATGGGCGTTTTTACTCAGAGTAAAAGGTAAAGGTACCCCTGCCCGTACGGGCCAGTCGTGTCCGACTCTAGGGTTGTGCGCTCATCTCACTTAAGAGGCCGGGAGCCAGCGCTGTCCGGAGATACTTCCGGGTCATGTGGCCAGCATGACTAAGCCGCTTCTGGCGAACCAGAGCAGTGAACGGAAACACCGTTTACCTTCCCGCTATAAAGCGGTCCCTATTTATCTACTTGCACTAAGGGGTGCTTTCGAACTGCTAGGTGGGCAGGAGCTGGGACCGAAAGACAGGAGCTCACCCGCCGCGGGGATTTGAACCGCCGACCATACGATCGGCAAGTCCTAGGCACTGAGGTTTTACCCACAGCGCCACCCGCGTCC